AAAGTTACATATGATTTCAGAGACAGAAAACTGAAGTAAAGGCAGGACTCTGAAGATTGCCTTTTGAAGCAAATAACAAGAAGATGCTCAGAAAGTTCTCTCACAACAACTAACATACTAACATTGAAGCCGAGACAAACAAGAACTCTACAAGTATATTGTTGTACTAACACTTAGATTAACACGGATATGATCTCCTCCTCTTGAGTTTTTAGTGTAGTGTGGTTATCTATCCTTTATCCTTAGATGTAATCCCCTTCCCTTATATATTCTTTGTAGTTTTGTAGTCTTATAAAAAAAATAATAAAAAATATCCCTCCGGGGATTTTAAAAAAAAAAAAGTAGTTTCACAGGCCCCTGTTTTACAGTGTTGCAGAGCATGAGCCTTGCAATTTCCATGACTTACCCTTGTGCTGTTCTTTTATGAACTGGACTAGATTCTAAGTGGTGCCAGAGGAAGGCACTGATGAAAGCAAGTTTTCCCACTTCCTTCAGCATCCTCCTATGAGCCTCAAACAGGTGATGCCAAGCATCAGGGCAACGCATGAATGAAAGGTCACACAACATGGGCAGCCATATGAAGGAGCAGAAAGCGAGCAGAAGACACATTCCAAGCATTAGGACCATGGATATGTTTGCCCTGGCACCTTCTTTTGAATGAGGCAGAAGGCAGCATTGCAGGGGCTAATGGGCTACAGCCAATGAAGAGACACAGCAAGGGGCTTTATAAGTAAGCTACTCCTCTTTCAGGTCGGTTTTTGTTGCTGCAGCTGACCCACCCTGGGGATATCATGGGGCCAACCAATCTGGGGCCAACCAGGAATTGTTGAGGAGCCCCTGATTGACTGTTGGGAAACATTTTTTCAGCTGCTAGAAAGGGCATGTTTTAGATGAAATAGGCTTGGTCTTCAACTGGTTAGGCCATAATTAGTTTGGCAGGAATAGGGCAGTTTACTTCCAATAGGTAAGGTTGATTGGCAAGCACCCTGAGGCCCTGAGCATGGTGGAGGCTGTGTCCAGAACAGCCCATCACATGTCTTGGGGTGGGGTTGGCAAGGAGTACCCTTGGTGCTGAGAAACATCTTTCCAAACCTGGTAGCAGTCTAACAGTGCATCAGGGAAGGGGAATGAGGCTTGGGACCTCTCAGCACATTTCATGTACAGGTGAGGGTAAACAAGACCAGTGGAATCCTCTGGGGCAGGTTTGGAGCTAGCATGGATCTGCCCAACAAAGGCAGCCATTGGTAGGCCGCCTAGCGCAGCCTGACCTTTAAATATGTTAGCATATTTTAATACGTTATTATGTATATCAGTTATTTAAGTAAAACTAGTTAAACCCATGCAGTGGTCTGCTGTCTTCATTTGGGGGTGCCAAGACAATCACCCCTCTCTGCTTTTTCCATTAGTGGAGCATCTTGCACCAGTGGAAGTGCTGTGGGCAGAAGAGTGGGGAGGCGCTTTTACCTGCCATCTGAGTTATATGGCTGCTTGTCCATGTGGGGTCCTCCAGACTTTAGCATTGCCTTTTTTGGGGCAGGGAGAAGAGGGAAGAACCTGCTTCCGCCAGCACCTTCCGTTGCTACTGCATAGAATCCAGCTCATTGACTTGTTAAATATCTTTGGTGGGTGTGCGCTCTCCTGCTTAAGTTCTTTGACATGACTAACAAAAGACACAGCAAACTCATACATTCTCCCTCCTACACAATGCAGCATGTCAGGAACCTGGTGAAATTGATTCAGGAAGACAAGGCAAGGAGGATCTTGGCAAATAAGGAACCAGTTAAATTTGACTAAGGGAAGAAATCCTGCAAAAAAACTACAAAGGAAATGTCAGCATGGCTCTTCCTAAGCTGCAACCAACCCCCTTTCCTCCAAACCATTATTTGGGACTGCATCTCACAGTATGTGTTCTCTCTCCCAGTTCTATGAATATAATGTTTCACATTTTTAAAAAACCAGTTTGCAGCAGCATCTGGAAAGCCTTTTGTGAGGGAAGACCTCATAGATGTGTAGAAGAACTGAACACTGCTACTGATATCTCCTTATTTGTTTAAATATCTATGCCATTTAAAGGCACAGAACAATTAAAAAACAAAATAGCAGATAATCCTAATGACCTGCCCACTGGACGCAAACCTTCAGAACCTTAATTTTTAACAAAAGCCCTTCTGAAAGAGAATAGCCCTGCATAATTACCAGAATCCAGGGATCTGATACTTCTACCCAGAAGGCTTGTGCCAAGGAGGACTGGGCTTTCCCAAATGGGATCCCCTGTGTGCAATCCTATGCATCTGTGGAAGGGAGCTCTGGCTCACAAAGGCCTATGCTGAAATGAATTTTGTTGGTCTTTAAATTGCTGTTGGACTTGTTTGATTTCCTAAATGAAGATACTCACAGCGACCAATTCGACTGCAGGTTTTAGAATATCTGGGAGTCAATGGAGCCTGGGCCTGAAGCTCTGGTTTAGGTTACATAGCATAACACATAAGCAAATACATAACACCCCTCTCCCCTAAGTTAGCACACATAATCTTTCAATTAGTTTGGGCGATACCCTTTTTGGAAACATCGGAGTTCCCCATCTGGCAAGACAGAGACTGTCCATGTCCATAGAGCCGTCAGGAGCCGTAGCGCTCGAACTATCAGGGTTTGGAGTGGTGTAGAGCAGTGTTAGTTCTGAAGGTTTCTCGCGTTCCGTGCCGAGCATCGGTAGTTGATTGGGGAGTGTTGCAAGTGGCCTCCGACCCAATAGTTGACTGGGGAGCGTTGCAAGTTTTTTATAAAGTATGGACTTGCAAAGAGTGTGCCATGGAAAATGGACTGATTGGTGCCCATGAGACAGAGCCACACAAAGAAGACACATGCCCGGCTGAGGGAAGCCTTGGACTGAAACAGCATGTTAAAACCAGATGTGGACCCATGGAAGACCCAATGTTATCCTTCCCTGCCTCCCTAACGATGACTGCAAACCCAGGTAGACGGCATGCCAGCCTCCCTGAGAGTCACAGACACTTGGAACCAGCAGCCAGAGTAATGAAGAAGCCATGCTTTGCAAAGACAACATAAACTTTCCTGTTAGAACACCATGACAAGCCTCATCTCCATCATGTAGGCACTCCCCCCCCACCTTCTTCTCCAGCTTCACCCTATACTGCACATAGCTCCAAGTTGTGACAGGATTAGCTCACTCACCCACCCTGCACTCATCAAGACAATGCTGCTGCCAAGCATTGGATCATTAACACTGATGGCTGGCCATGTGTCGAACCCAGTACTTTTCAGTGGCAACAAAGATGGGATCCCGATGAGCAGGCCAGGCTCACCTTCCAGCGCAGCACCAAGCATCATTAAGGAAATGCCACCGTGCCCCGCACCGCTCCCGAGCAGCATCGCACTGCACCCGGCATCACTGAACACCGCTCCCCCACTCCACGCTAGAGCCATGGCCTCCGC